AAACCCCAGGGAAGGAGAATAGACTGTCAATCTCATTTAAAAACACAGAGGTTTAAAAAGTGAAGAGAGAAGCCTCTGGCTGAACCATCAAAGCTACAATAAATCTGATTAAACTACAAATGTAAAACAGCAACCAACAGAGAGGAAAATTGTACTTTTTTTCCAAAATGAAATGCGATGAAAGAACCTTGACTAATGTGTCATGTTGTGAGTTCAGTTGAGGGAAGTAGCTATCTCAGACATCCGTGTGATAATCATTGTTTTTGGTACATCTAGTCCCTCACAGCAGGTAACAAACGAATGTATACAAATCTGGCTTGTATTGAAATTTATTGGTATTAAAATGCCAACACAATCGGGTCTTCTGTCTCGACTCGTAATCGCTCTAATCTGATAGCTGTTGGAAATTTTACCACAACATTAAACAAATACTGTACACAAGACTTTTTAGTGGGTCATTACATTAAACCACATTTACTCCTCAACCCTGTGGTGAGTCTACTGTATGCCCTGGAGCTCCCAACACAGAGAGGGGGGCGTCTAATGGTCTCCTGTATTTAGTGGGTTAATTGCTATGTCCTGGTCTCCACTGGATTGTGAGCAGAGCATTTCAGTTTAATTGTGAACCCTCCACAGCCATCCACTAGTGCACTGTGGGAGTATTAAGTGTTGGAGATGGTCTTCACGATGCACTTGATACATAGACGATCCTCCAGAGAGGGCTAACTTCATATTACACTGCCATCTGCTGGTGTCATGTAAAAGTAACAACCGTTTGAAAACAATGGAGTTCTCACAAATGGCCCTCGCATTTGGATTTTTTAAAATTCCATGAAATATTCTTTCTTTTTCCTTTCTAGTTTATATAAACATCACTCCTACAGCCTAGTAGTGAGCATGCCAAAACTAGTGGGAACACTCAGCTAAATACAGCCACAAAATAAGCTCCCCAGTGTGCATTGGTAAATAAAGTGTTACATTTTAATATAGATAATATTGTTTTGCCTCTGTTTTAGTTTTATTGCAAAAAAATCTACCTCAGTGGTTCAAAACCTAATACAACTTGCCTTGTCATCAAGTAAGATCATGTCTCTCATATAAATATTTTCTATTAGATATCCTCTCGAACTAAACACACTTTCTCACACACACACACAGACTAACATATACATGCAAAAAAACTGACTGACAATAATTGAGCCATGAAATAATGTTTAATTTTTCCCTTTGTTTGTGCTTTATTACATATTTCATTCTGTCCGCAGTGGCATTTCTTCAAGCCTGTGACGGCGAACACTGGACTGCTCTGTTAGTGATAAACATGTGAATTACAGAGAACAAGCTAATACACGAGTATATCCCCAGTTGCAGTTCCCCTTCTCAAACTGCACAAGAAATTTGCATTTTAATGGCTCAAGCTGCTCGATGTCCCCTGCACCAGAGTGAAAGCTCAGCTGAAATCATGGGTGACTGCCTCCAAATAATCCACTGAGACAGACCAGCTCCCACATAAACACAGGCACAACAAAAAAAAAAAAGCCAGGACATGGCCATAAAACCCCTCAGGCTGGATGCACCTCATATACAACAAATCATTACATTGTGTTTAATTCAGCATTATGAAAATGTACAAAAAAGATCAGACACCAGGAACAATCTGACAGGACAGAATAAAGTTAACCCCTTGTGGATTATCGCGACAGAACACGTTGTGTTATTTTGCCATGCAACTGAAAATACACAACGAATCCGGAGACTGATTTCCATTTTTATTAATTTGCCATTCCACTTGTTCATGTCAACAAATCCTCATCTTTGACATTCAATGACAAAAAAGCCTGATCATTTTAAACTGTGATATCATATACTGACGCTGTACCTTCTCCATGGCACATCCTCCTTAAATGCAAACACTAACACCAAATAAGACTGAAACTAAATGTTTAAAAACTATAAACAGCAAGCAAACAGGATGAGAAATACATACCAAAATAAAACAATGGCAAGCTATTGGTGATTACACATTATGGGGATTTAATGTGGCTGCATTATACAAATAACTTATTTGTTAACTGTATGAACCAGACATCATCTAAAAGTCTAAAAGCAGGAAACATTAATGTCCTTCCTTTCTAAAGCAAGTAAGTTTGATATTATTGATGTTGAAATTGTTGGGTATTTTGACTTTCGACTGTGCAATGTAGCCTACATTCAAAGCCATCAAAGTTTCCACCATAGCAGCCATCATTATATCTTTGTCCTTGTTATAAGACTTTAAGTATATTTGTTTTTCTTATCTAATTTTTACAAGTGAGAGTTGTTCTGAAGTATTAAACAGGTATTAAACACTGTAAGATATTATTTATCCATTTTGGATGATCGATGCCAGCATAACAAATGTTTGGACGTATAAACTGTGCTTCCTGTGCACACCTGGGTTCTTGCTGCCATCTAGAGGTAAGGAACTGCCTGTGCTTGTTCACATGGTCCTAATTGGTTTGCTTCTACATAATCATGCGTGATTCAGTCATGCAATGACTGAAAAATGGCAAAGTACTGCCTCGTGTACTTGGCCATTTTACCTGCATTTAGGATTAATATAAATACAATAGGACAAATTTGGTTTTCACATAAAACATGAAGAAGAAAAGTATACTTTACTATATAATAATGGTAAACTGGTGTTTGTAATAGTTTTAAACAAAAATTCCACCTATTAATAATAAGTCTATGACAATTTCAACAAATATTCTTGTTTTATTATCATTCAGGCCATTCTAGGTGCTTAAAGTAATTAGTCTTTTTTTTTTTGGGAGTCGGTGCATCAGCTGAGAAAGGATTTAAAATACAAAGGACCAAAACTTCAGCTCAAGAAAACACTCATCTGTTTCAAATGGATGTATTTATTTAACACACTGCATGATTAAAATAACTTCGAGACATTTTCAGTCTGATGTCTGAACGAATCAGTCTATTGAGTCCAGTGTTATGCTGCCACTGGGTTTCTCGTGTATTATTTTGAGATCTGCTAATGCTGAGTTGCAAGCAGAGTCTGGAACAAATTAATGTGTTGCTTTTTACCCTTTGAAGCCGGCTTCACACTGAGTATAAATGTTGAGTCGCCACTGAAAACAGATATCTGAGAAAAAACCTCTGAACCTACAGTATATGTGGTGGGAAAAAACTTTTGTCAACTATGTTATACACACAGTACATCCTGGATATAACTGAACATGGGGTGAGTGCTGTGCCCAGCAAAGAAACACAGAATGATTGCTGAAACCCAAATTTCAGTTTTACAAACAGTTTCACATGTAATTTTTCAGGTTATAGACAGTCATGAGGCACTCATATTGGACAGGCAGTTTATTTACAAGTAGCGGTCCCATACATTCACAAAGAAAAGAAAGAAGAGATGGAAAAATGTCCAAATAATGTGGGGTGATTTATCCAACTGACTAATCAAACACCATTTCCTTCAGTCTTATCTCATTTGCTTGGGCCATCAAGAAAGACTCAAAAGCAATCGCCAATGGTCATCAACAACTCAATCTATAAAAATAACATCACGGTGTTACACAGATTCACAGATTTGTCTGTGGAAAGAAAGAAATATTTACATTAATACAAACAAAAGGTGAAATTCAATTGAAAAAAAAGGGAACAAATCAAGGTTGAAGGAAAAGATGAGCAGTGCAGAGAGGGTCCTCAAAGGCAAAGCTTGAGAAATTCTTGCTTTATGGTCTTTTAACGGACACCCCTTAATCTTTTTTTCATTTTTCCTGGAAAGACCAAATAGACAATTAATGAAAAAAGGGAATGACAATAATACTGTTTAACAGTTTAAAAAGTGCAAATAATTAATTTTTTGGGGTAAAACTGAACTGTATCTACTTCTCATTTACAAAAAAAAAACACATTTTATTACAACAAAATTTAGAAAGGTCTTTTTCATTTGACATACAGGCAGAATGATCAGAGTTTAGATGGGAAATGTTGCTGCCCAACCCACATTGCTAACAGTGCAGCCACACTGCAAAAGCACTGCAACAAGATAGGACAAGTTGACAGGTGTAGCAAATCCAACAATATGGTAGAATATAACGTCAGCACAAGAGTTTCACTGAAACCCAACAAAAGACTGGTGTCTTTAAGTCAACTTTAGGAAAAAAGTGTCTTTTAATTGAGCTTTTGAGAATGAATGGAAAGCAAACATACTTCTTTTGCCCTAGTCAAAAATGTTGAATTACTCCTAAACAGTAGTACTCTTTGCTCATGAGTAAACTGCATATTTAAAAATGTGACTTTTGATAAAAACTTAAATGCAATTTGTGTAATGTCAGGATGAGTAGCCAAAACATGATGTTGAAAGTATCTGCATAACGTGCTCCAAATATTAAAGGGAGATCTCACCTCATAGTAGTTCTGCAGTACGGCCAAAATGGAAATACTGACAAGGTTTAGTATCTACAACGGGTCTGCAAATGCTGAAGAATCAGAGAAAAAAAAACAATAATAAACTGATAAATGCTATATGGACAGTGCTGCTATTCAACCAGCTGCCATAGGTATTTGATAGCTGTTGCTACTGTGTAGATATTGTGAGTCGTGAGACAGCGGGACACAATAAACACAGCAAGAGTAAAAAAGAAACACCCCATTACAACCGCATTTCTACAGGACCATTTAAATTCAAATGTATATTCACATACACTTGCGGTTTGAAGCATATTGGTAGAAATGGGGTATGCCATGAGCAAGGACAATCACAATGGACATAATGTAAGTTCTAAATGGATGAATTATGGAAATCGAGCATGCAGAAAACTTCCTACATCACATAAGGTGAGTCCTTTTGTCACACCTTTATGGACATCGCCGGCACTTACAACCCATTATCATCTTACTGGTGTTCAGGATGGTAATGGTGGGGAAGTGGAGAGTGCCCTCTGCTGGTGAAAGGTGAGATGAGGATGGGATGGCAGCCAGATGGAGGAGGATCAGGACAGCACACTGGTGTTCTGTGAATCCACATCTTGCATGCTCATGACATCTGTACTTACTCCGCTCTCGTATATAGGGTTTTCAAATGCTGACTCTTCTGTCATGTTGTCATACGGTGGGGAAGATGTGGGCATTCTGATAGACTTCCCTTGGAGTCTGAGTAAAGAGTGTAAAAAAAAAACGGAACACCATGTAAAGCCTGCTCTGACTACAAATCAAACATGCAAAGCACAAAGTTTTTACTTACTTAGCAAAGTAGACATAAATCGCCAAAACAACCACCAAAACGACTGCCGTCGGAATAAAAACCGCAAAGGTAATATTGGTTTCCTTCATGCCATAATCCATGTTGACAACTGAGGGAATAGAAAGACAGAAATATCCAACATTCTGGTGAAATATTTGCAACATAAAATGGTTATATCATTTGGTATTGCTTTAAACATGTCTCACCATCAAGCCTGCGCTCGTTCACATGCTGTGCAGAGGATGCTAAAAAAGACACAGTTGCAGTTAGTTCAGTGTGTTAATTCTTAAAAAACACGGTTTAAATGTGATTCTTCACTATAGAATTACTCAACATCAATCAATCTCAAGAACAGCATCAGAATCAGTTTAAAATATTTTTGTTCAAGATGCTTTTTTATTTCCAGACATCCTTTTTTTCTTTTCCGAAGGAAGTTTGCTTTGGTCTTTCTCACCTCTGCAGGCGGGAGGGGTGCTGTTCCACTGAGATGGGTGTCCTGGGACACAATAGATGGTGGCCCCCCCCTGCAGCTCGTAGCCAGTATGGCAGGAGAAGGTGAGAGTCTCTCCTGCTTGGTAAAAGGCTTTTTCAGAGCTCTGTGTGCTGGGGGAAGTAGCACCGGGGTTCCTGCACGGCTCATACTTTTCAGCTAAAAAAACAGGAAAGTATCTTAATAACATTGTCTCACACCACTGTTCGTCCTCAAAAATTCAATTGACTTGTAGTAAAGACACTAAAAGGTGGTTGAACTTAGAATGATAACAATCAGGGACTCACACACTGTGGGTGTCAGTAATTGTTTATTGTACTGGGTTAAACTTGTGACTTACGGACACACTTGGGCAGCCGGTCACTCCATTTGGGCACAGCCGTATCTCGGTTGTAGCAGGTGAGGAGGCCAGAGCCGGACAGGACGTAGCCTTTATTACAGATGAACTGCACAGTTGACGCAACCGCAAAGCGGTTTCCCGTGATCACCTTACGGCTGTGCTCCACATTCCCGGGATCCTGACATGTCCGAACTGGCACATGACGGGAAAAGAAAAGCAAAGAAACTATGTAAGTATCAAAACGAAAATCACAGTCGTATTTAACCAACTTATGTTTCAAAAGCTTCTGAAATCCTAAAGTTCCACCTTCATTACAGTTTTGGTTGTGAATTTCAGAAGAGTGGTCCACAGAACCGACTGACATAATTCTTCCTAATCTTTACAATCCTCACCAACTGTCAATTTTTTCTCAGGACTGTTTTAAGATCTAACATTAATGGTACACTGAAATAATTATGTATTGTGGCTCAGCAATGTTTTTGTTGAGCATGTTTCAGTCTGTCACTAAATCAGAACTTCATTGAAACAACATTTGTGAACATGGAGTGAGTGAAGATGAACAATTCAGGCTGAGAGTAAAAAAAAGTGCAGAATTTTATAAAAGGCTATTGATTTGATTACTCAAAAACCCCCAGTTTAGTTGCAAAATATCAGCAGTTTGTCATAAAGACTAATGTTAAATTATCATGCAACATGACCAATTAACATGTATTTGAATATTTAATTGTTTATTTCCTCCTAGCCATATCTATAGCACTTTGGTTGTTACTATATCACCTAAATTAAAATGTTCAAGCATTCGGAGGCTTTGAACATCATCAAACTTCCTGATAAAAAAATACAGTGTGTAAGTATTCACTGGATGCATCAATTTGTTGACAGTGGTCAGCCGAATGAACCAGCAAAGGGATAGTTAAGTCATGGATATAGAAAACTCTGTAGACTCTGAATAAAGCGAATGTTTTATACCACAACAACAATCTGGCTGTGTACGTCTTCTCACCTTCCTCACATCGTGGCACGTCGCCACTCCAAGTGAGGTCCCACTGACACATGAGGATCTCGGAGCCTGTCAGACTGTAGCCTGGGTAGCACTGATAGGTAACCACGGTGCCGTGAATGAGGTCAGGGTGGGACGTGCTCTTCCATCCATTAGGAATCTCTGGCAGTTCTGGACATGTGTCATTCCTAGCCACCTCTGTTGTGACAAATAGCAGCAACATTCAAACTTAAAATTAAAATCCAGTCAAGTTAACAAAGGGCTGTGGTTTTGAGGAAACAATAATGTCACTCATAAAGAAATAAAACTGTCATTCCTATGGCATCTGGAGCGTAAAGCTTATGTTGAGAAAAGTGTCAAGATAAATCCAAGCATTCACATATAACACCCTCTGTGGGGAGTGAATTCAGAGAGCAGAATTGTGTGTTTTTTTGTGCTCTAAACAGCCACAGTTGGATAGGAAATGTAAATAGAGGCTTGTGATGGGTGCTGAGAGGAACACAGCATGTGCTTTGGCACCATTCAGTCTGTACCTTCCTAACCGCAGTGCACATGGCCAGGAGCACAAACTATTGGGCCAAAAGCCGTTAACGCTGACGTGCACCCCATCATTTTGTTTCCTTTCTTGTTGTTACCTAATCCTATGCACCTGGGATAAGCCAGATGACTGACAGAGCCTCGGTGAGAGAGGAAAGAAAGAGGCAAAAAGAAGGCAGAAGGATTCATTTGGCTCTTTTTCTTTTTTCTTTTTCATGTGAAAGATACATTTATCTTAAATTCACTAGCAGATTTAGTGTAAAGTCAACATTGAAGTTATACTTAGAAATGATAAATTACTGTAAATAAATTGATAAATAGATAATATATATATAGACATGTCTATAATAAGCTAAGCTATTGCCTTACCAAAGAAGTGAACCACAAAGCCGTTGTTGTAGCCGTAGATGTTGGTTGCAGGGTCGGACTGAAACTGAATAGTAACATCCGCCATGGAGGTGAAGAGCTTGAAGTGTGGCCGCGTGCCACTGTACTGGCCCAGGATGTTGCCTGTCAGGTCATCACCATCATAGAACGTCAGCTGGTCATTCTTACCTAAGTTGAGGCTGGCACACACACACATACACACACGTACACATTAACCAAAGATATCAACCATGCTAGGTCGCTTACTTTCTCATGCTTACTTTCAAGTCGGTGGTATCTCCTTAGCTGATGAAAGCAAAAGCTGATTTTATGAGGCAATATCAGCAGTATTTTGACATTTTTTATTCTGTTTATATTCAACGGAAATTATGTGAAGTAAACACTAAATAATTCATTTGTCTCCTAGCCCTCATGAATATGCATTGATCTGCACATATGGGCATATGATGATGTGAGATGAATTCAAGGGATTAGGTAGGTTTGATAACACTGCAAAAATCCAGACTACATTGAAACCACAACAATTTAAAGGTACAACCTGTGTGTGTTTCCTAGCTCACCTTTGTTTTTACATATGAATGGATACAAAGCTGCTTCTATTTAGGAGATCAATAAAGTATATTCAATTCAATTCAATTCAATTCAATTCAATTCAATTCAATTCTATTCAATTTAATTGAATCTTTGCTGTCATTCATTTACTCAAGAATACATTAAACTTTTATTTATGTCCTTGCACTCTATGTTGAGCAACAGCAACGCTTGACATTTACTGACTCTCAGGGGATAGTGTAAAGAGAAAGTAACATAATCAACAGTTGTGATTTAGTTGATCACAACTGTTAGTGCTGATTCAGCATACAACAGCATTGGGCTTGTGATAAGATTTGGGTTATTAGAACAACATTTGAGCTTTTTTTAATTTGTGCTAAAAGGCATAAAAGAACAGTGTCTTAATGGTTATTACATATTTGTTTTCCACACCAACACAGACACCACATTATCTTTCTTTCCAAAATGTTGAATTCTAATCAACGAGGCAGGATAAATTCTCATCAGCAATTGGTAATTGGCTCGTACTCTGGGGTTCCTTTAACAGGAAAAATAGTAATTTCACTCAAATGTTAAATAATTATAAAATAAACATCTTCATTTGTTCTAATGAATTAGATTAAGGACGCAATGTATGACAAAATGTAATTTTGATATGGGGACAGTTAATGATCATGAATTTTTTTAAATTAAAAAATATTTTCATTGTTAGAGTGTAAGACCTTAAATGGTTCATGTGTCCTTACAACACATGAAAATATTATTTGAACAGTAAAAGCACATTTAAACAGATCAACTGCTGTTCTCACTATTCACAAAGTCCAAATAACCAACAAACCAACCAGAGAAGATATAGGGAAACTGACTGATGGAGATTCCTCTTAACCTTATGCACAAAAAATATAAGTATAATAATATAAAAATAAAATATATTCTTAACTTTCCCTATTATTGGTCTGAATAACAATGTGCTATTGTGTTATTTTGCCATATGGCATTGCCAGAATACTGAGTAGTATTTTTGTGCTTTTTATTTTGAAGTTGTTTTTCTAAAAAATTTGTATCGAGGCATGAAAATGTTCCAAACCCCATGTCAGCTGTGTGGGACTCACTCGCTCCTGTGATGTGACACCTGGTTGCATTTCTCTGCTCAAATTTGTGGACACTGCATATTGTTAGCATCGGCTGTTGTAAATCAGATGCTCACTTTTGAGCGCCGGGTTCTCTCATCATAATTCAGTTTACAGTCTGTGTGTGCTAAGAATGCGGGCTCTGAAACAGAAGCTGTGCCAAAGCGTTTTAAAATAAGTACGACCAATGGAAAAACTCCCAGAGCTCAGCTGGCTGACAACTTGACTCATTTAATCAGTGAGTCAGTGACAAACACATTTGTAAGGCTATGCTCACAAACACTTTGCTGTCATGCCAAATATGACCAGAATCACACGTGCTGTGAACTATTTAATAAGCACATACTTGCGATGATGTAGAAATATGAAAAAGATGTAGTATTTCTAAAGACAATTTTTTTTTAATCTATAGCAACAATATAATTCCATTGAACATCAAAGGTAACCCAAAGGATAAGATACTGTAAAGCAGATGGAAAAAGAGAAGGCAAGTTTGAAGCACTCCCTTCCTCTTGACCTTCTTTCTCTGGTTTTCATCAGCATCCATGAGGACAATATTGGTTGATTCACAAGGTAGAAAAGCGGTATTTTAACACACAAACATCAGACAAATGCATCTGATTAATTTGCAGGGAGATCTGGATAAGGTTTAACAACTCTAAACAATCCATTTGCATAAATGTTATGGTAGTGAGGGGTTGAATAAAAACGTAGTTCATTAGGGCACCACGGGGGAAATTTGCACCTTTGACCGTCTCAGTTGATCAGTGGCCGGGGATTGAAGTGATAGGGACGATTATACGAGTTTTCACTCATAAACCTCACTGGAATCATTAATGCACGTAGAATTCTGATGCCATTAAGAGAAGCCAGCTAAATAAGAAAAGTGCTTAAGACGTTTGTCCTTGCAGATGTGTACATAATAACGGGCATGTCTTTTAAGAAAGGAGCAGTGGGGAAACTCTGATAATACTTCATGGAATGACTGACAAACATAATTTATCTTTTATTAGTACTCAGACTTTCAAAACTGGATAGTCAAATCATAATTAAACTGTGGAATCAGTTGTTGTTTTTTATCTTCATATTTTGCACTTCATTTCTCTGAGTTATTTTCTTCCTGCCGATTATTAAAGCTTTCTACTGAAGTGGATGTCCTATCTATAAAATATTCCAAAAATTAAACGTTTTTCCTTTCAGTTTAGAACAATGCTATTTTAAATTCTGCCAAAGAAATGATCAACCATTCCACATTAAAACATTCATCAATAGGCACAACACACCCGTTTATCAGTCAGCTGGAAGTGGACCCAAAGCCCTTGTGACATCACCTAAAACTGCCAACACACACCACCTTTGGTCCACGCTTACATGGCTCTAATGGCTCCATCACCGCAGGCTATACAGTTGCCTTCTCTGTAGCCACCTGGCAACAGCATCCCCCAAATGTCATCCCACCTGTCCCTTTTATGCTAGTTCCTCCAACAAGGCCTTAAAGCAGACATTTCCACGTCTGTGCTGCTACACCCAGTAAGCTATTTAGTCACTTGAGCTTTTTTATTCAGTATTTAGAGTCATATTGTTGTCGAAAAACTACTGGGATGAGAAGGGCATTTTTCATTGTTAAATGCACTTCATGACATTGCAAGAGGCAAAATGGTTGAATGCATTTAAACAATAAAATGACAAAAATTAAGTTAGTAAAGTAAGTTAGTCTTTTTCGATATCATTTGGTCAGATCATTTCTTTACAGTCCTTTAAAGTCATCACCATGCTGGTGAGAACAACAATGTTTACACACGTATCTCTCTCACTGATCTCATAAGTTTAAAAGTGCCATAACTTATATCCACGAGTAAATAGAAATATAACATAGAAATTGATTAAAGTGTTATGCAAAGGGAATGTATTAAATGCCCTCATAGATGTTGGTATTAATTTGGTCTGCTGTTGCCTTTTGAATTAAATTCTAGGTACCTAGCAAGTGTTTTGCCTTGGAGATAGTATGCATTTCCTAGAGAGTCCACCAGAGGACTCTATGAGGCCAAAATAAAAAGGTCTTCCATTCTGGTCAGTAAACATACATAACACAGTTAGGATGGCATTCTTATTGTGTTATTACACTGTGAAACATACACAGTTTACTTTAAATGCAAATCCATATGCCAGCTATTTTCCTAGGTATGTTCCACAGGTGGGCATATCAGATGTAACCTCTTGTTTCTGGCTCTTGCTCGAGCCATGCTCCATGCTAATTAGCACAGAGCCAGCCCTCCTGTTTGGCCTAAATTAATTAATCAGTCCTCATTATACACACTGCTCCTCTGTAATTGCCAGCACAGGCACAGTGATGAATGATAACGCCGAAAACATTCTCATTAATGTGGAAAAGTGTGTTCCCACCCTTATAATGAGACAGCTCTTATCCACGAGAGCCTTTGCACACAAACACACGTTGACACAAATTACATTTTGACCAAAGCTTCAGGAATGCTATTCTCAAGCTAAACAGACCAGACACAAAGGTAATAGTGAGGGTCCGCGGGGATCAGCAGGCTGTTTCAACTGCCGTGACAGCTGCGGCTGACCAACTGTGAGATAATCTAGAGTCGGTTTGCAGTTCCATTCATTTACAGTGAGCAGCCTCATGTGGCTGAGATTAAAACAAACTTAAGACTTGTACAATTTAAAACCAAATCTCTGAATGAAATTCAGATTAACTAAAAATCAAACTTGTTTGCTTCTAAATGGAAAAATCTCCTCTGATCTTTTTCTAGCCGAAGTGCACTGGTTTACTCTCGGTATCAGACATTAATCACCAAGTCTTAATCTGCATCCAAAGAACAAAGAGGCTTGCAGGGTCACATAAAGTCCTGTGTTATGCTCAGAGATTGTTTTTCTTTGGGTATCCACTGATGCTATTATTCCTTTTGGTTTGAGGATTTTTGTCTAATCGTGTTTCAAGCTCTCTGAGCCTGAGAGGTAAGTTTTATAAATATGATCACTTCAAACATGGCATCTGAAATCAAACTGTTGTAAAAATAAATGTAAAAAATCCACAGTTGTTGTTTTTTAAAATTATCTATAGATCTGTGAGGGTTTAATTCAGCAATACATAAGAACATATATGTTTATATATATATATATATACTGTATGTATAATATTGACATATTAAAATGTGAAATATTTGGATAATTCTGTAATCCTAAAAAACTAATTAGATCAATGTCATAAAATGTTATCCATGAGATTACAATACTACTTGGGAGAAAAACAAAAACAAACGTTAATTCACCCAAAAATACTTTTTAAAAAAAACAAAGAAAATGTTAGAAAACCAAAAAATAATTGATGCCATAAATGTTGTGACTCACTGATTCCCATCTAAGAATACAGTTAAAAAACAACCTTGTAATCACCTCCATCACTTGACTGAAATCAGAACCTCTCAACAATCTTTTTCCACCTGTACTTCAAGTGCTAATTCCAGATCTGCATGATTGACATTGTGTTACTTAACTTTAAACTATACTGTAAATTCAATAGAATAACCCGCAGACAGAATCAATCCATGTCATGTTGAGTTGCTGAGCAACTGTATAAATCTTTATTAGGGTTTGACTAATAAAAAAGCAAAAACAGCTCTGACACTAAATCCAAGCCTTGTGATGTTGACGTCACCTGTACTGAAGTGCATATATCTTTGGACTAATGAAGTGATTCAAATATTCATCATGTTTTCCTATACATGCTCCGGTCCAAAAGAGATGGTGATGATTATTTGATTTGTTTTGTTACCATGGAGGATTGCAATCTTTCTGCACTGCATGTCATAATTAAATTCCAATTCTATTAGACTATCCAGGAAGAATAGGGTATACAGAAATATCAAAATTGAAGGAAGCACATTTCTGTTGGAATAAATGACCACTGTTACCGGGAGCTTAGAATAGTCTCTGTTTGAGATTTTTCAGTGACTCTGTTTGTTACAACCTCTGGCAGTATTCCCTTTGGTTTAATTTTACCCTCCCAGTGCCCTTTTGTCTGTATTTGCCTCAGGCAACAACACATATCACTTATGCTGTACTGTTTTTGTGTGCACTTTAGGACGAATATGCATGGTAATATTCTGAGTATCATCCAACAGAGGCAAACAGACAAATCCATATAGGATAACAAGGCAATGATATAGATTGTCACGCACACAACTGAGTTACTTCGTTTCAGCCGAATGCTCCGTGTACCGTAAAAAATCAAGATGATGTGATCATTTTCACCCCATTTAAGAACAATAATTGGTGCAGACGTGAGGAAACAGGTGCATGTAGGTGTGTGTGTAGTTCAGGGGACTTTCATGTAGGAGTGATGAGTGAAGGTGGAACGGTGTGCATGTGTCTATTTTGACATCTGTGCGTGTGCGCTGAATTACAGTTGGGTAGACTGGATAAGTGGCTCAGAGTAGTTCACTGCCAGAGCATATTCATTTCAAAGCCAACTCTGAGGCAGACACCAGGGAAGTGAGAGTAGGGAGGCTTACTGGCTAATCTGGTCAGAGAGCGAGCTGGAAGCTGCAAAGAATTCTTAATGTAGCGGATGTAAAATATGGGGGGGAAAAAATCTAATTAACAACTGCCACCACTGAAACACTTCCCCATGTGTGCACGCGTCTGTGGTTAGAGAACAAATAAGAAAGCATGTGTGCTTATATCTAGAGATGGAGTGTCGAGCATTGCCAGGTCAACCTGATCTACTCCATGGCTTTCCTCGTGTGGTTCTTAGCTTTCCACATGGGTTTAGTTCTCTTACACTTGGATGTCAAGCATGATCCTTTTGTCCTCTTCCACATGGATACCCCAGATGCAGTCCTGCCCCTTGTCGTAAGCCTCCGGCCAATTAGGAGACAACACCACACCAGCAGAGTCTGTGATCTCCCCACTACACACAGCTGTAACAAACAAGACAGTTCGAATTAACAATGCGCAATAAACACTAGCAGATTTAAAGATTTAAGATCACACAACTCCAAGTAAGACTATAGGCATAGTGGATCTACTTTGAAGCTTAATTGAACGAGCCATGGCTTGACAGGGCAAATTAAATAACTTTATACCAACAGATATATGGTTAGCAGAGATTCCCTGTATCTAGTTTTAAAACATTTTCAAAAAAAGCCTTTCAATTTTGCTTTCAGAATGAATGACCACACTGGCATTGAATATGAGATAGAAGGTCAGCATATTGTGTTTGTGTCTATGTGGGAGACCGCAATAGAGACGAGAATATTTTTCAGACTGTTATTAAATATTGTGTAGAGTCAGTGCAATGGAAGTGTTCTTCTGAGGACTGCTATTGTTTGACTTTAAACTTGTGCACTTATAAAATCTGCCCCGCAAGCACATATTTCAAAGTAAATCATTATTATAATTTCTAGCCGAGCTTTATCGCGGATCAGAGGAAAGCAGCTTTGGAAGAAATAGTTAACTGTCAGTAGTATTTAATATTTGAACAAAAAGACACAAACTCCGGGAATAATCAGACTCAATAAAAGCCTTGGGTTCTTAGGGTCAGTCATTTCTGACAAAGTTCCGACAAAGCCCCCACAGTTACTTGAGCGGAGAGAATTTTTGTACTCACCCCTACAAGCGGGCTCTGTCTCATTCCACTGTGGATTTTGTGCATCTACACATTCAATCACCACAGAGCCTTGCTCCAGTGTGTAGCCAGGGTCACAAGAGAATTCCACCACTGCTCCCACGCCATAGGCGGAGTCGCTGGAACTGAAGTTGCCATACTTCACAAAGGGCTCATAGCACATCCCCTTTGCAAAAGCTGTACGGGAAAAAAAAGTTAATTACAACATGCACGAGAAGCAAAAGCACTGTCAGAAAACTCTCAAAAGTGCATCATCTGCTTGCCTTCGTATCTGATGGCTGCCCCGGTGGAAGTCATCGACCCATCTGTGGTGAATTCCACAAACAGGTAGCGTCCAGTGCTGAGCACACCCTCATTGGGCAAGTATTCTACCTCATAGGAGTCATACACGGGAGGAGAGTCTATGTTGTTGCCATTTTTTATCAGCAACCTAAACGAGAAATAAGACAGTATGTCAGTGCAACACATAGATGGTAAAGGAAAGATGCGCAAAAAACCAAAACAAACTACCTGAAAGTTGCTGGACATTCTACTTTTGTCAGCAAAAAACTTTGTGATAATGCTTGATGCCGCTCTGTAATGGGGGGATCAGCCATGCATGGCAAAAGCCGTGTCGATCAGTAGATTTAATAGGAAATGCAGTGCAGTTTCTTGCTCCAACATGTCACTGTTTCAACTAAAATACTTGTATTCACTGTATCCCCTTTAGAAAACATCTAAATGATGAAAAGGCTCTTTCAAATTCACTATTTTTTACTGTTGTACGATTTTAGTCACTTATGACCCTTGATAGTTTGATGCTCTATTCACAAGGATAATGTTTATCAGAATGTTGTTCAAAGTTTGATAGTGAATACACCACCTGTCATCGTCCTCTGCTAGAGCAACCTTCTCAAAGTGAATATGAAGCCGATGGCCTTCAGGGGCTTCCAGTATCCAGTGGCATGTCAGATTGTTGCTGTAGTTGCCAGGGAAACCGGGGGAGACGATGCGACCATAGGTGGCATTCTTTATCATTCCCCCACAGGATGCTATTTGAGAAGAGACGGAGTAAGAAAAAGGGAGAAAGAGGACAAAGAGTTGGAGGGTAAAACTAGATGAGAAAAGTAATGAAACCAACTCTGGAACTGGAGTTTTAGAGAAAAGTCACCGTCTGAGCAAAGATTGCATCGATATCCAGCGGACTGTGGCTCGGCTACACTAGGTGGCTCTCCTGGGTTTAAGAGTGTGTGATTGTTTGAGAAGAGCACGGCAAAATGGCAGCAGTAACGCTATCAGTTCAGAGCAGCTGCAGGCACGAAAAGTGAAAGGCCGGAACAGACAAATGAGCCTTTACCAGCAGGAGACGGACAGCCATGTGGCCCAGTTCTAATTAAGGCAGCCAGGACCAATGGCCTTGTTTTGCCCCATCTCCAAAGAATAGCTCCCTGTGCTGCTAATCACATGTAAACACACTCAGTTGGCCTCCTAAATCAACTCGGTGGGAGACAAACTGGTGAAAGCCTTCATTAATCAAAGTTACCTGTTGTCTCTAAAAACAGAGACGAGGAAAAAGGCTCCCTTCATTTATTGTTCTCAGCTTTTTGAATTATTCATTTTACCAACGGTTTAACTGTTAAAACATTTTCAATGTTTCTCAAATTTAAAGGTTCTTGAGAAACATTTGGTCAAAATTATTTCGAAAATGTGAGTATGTGTTTGATTCAGAAACACATATGAACGGCGATTCAACACAACATATTTCTCCACACTCTTAAATGATAGATATGCTATGGGTACGTTATTATCATTAATTGTGATTGTGTCTGACCAAACAACTAACGTCTCTTACCCACACATCTGGGTTCCTTCCCATTCCAGTAAGGTGTGGTTGCATTTCGACATATGAGCATTTTGGGGCCTTGCAGCCTGTATCCAGTGAGACATTTGAAGTAAGCTTCTCCACCAGCATGAAGGTGGGTCACCGAAACTTCTCCACCAGCAGGTTCTTTGGGGAATGCACAGCTGAGCACAAAGGCTGGAAAGGGGAGGATCAGAAATTGGAAGAAAGGGAACAACAAAAGAGCAACATTAATAAAGTACAGGAAGAATCTCTTGGTTATGAAACAGGCTGAATCACAGAGGCTAAAAAGGTCAAGCAGCCCCTAAACCCCTGGGGATAGTGCATATTTCGGCCTTGCAAAGGCAATATGAGTGACAACAGTGAAGATTGACCAGAAAAAGGCACAAAATCATTGCAAAATGCGTCGAAAATTCCCCTGTGGAAAGACAGTATTTCATGACGCAATTGACAAAATTATGTATCAAATGCAATTTATAATGATACAACTAAACAGACCCAAAATGGACTAAATGGCACAAAACAGGCAAATATAAATATAAAATGCTCACAGAAAGCAGGATGGAGGTGAAAATACACATTTAAGGTTATCCTTCAAATTATTTGAAATTGCTATGTGTGATACTCTCTGAATTATTATGTTAAACAAATGCACCAGTGTGATGTGTTAGTAATGAAATAATTTCTATATGATTAGTCCTATTTCAGTCATCAATGTCTGCAAATCAGAGACAATTTAAAGTTGAATGATGCATTTACACTCACACCATGTTAAATAATGTGATAATCATGAATGCTATCAGTGTGCAAACACCTTAATTGCATGTTTTGATTATGAAATACGTAATAAATGCACTACTAAGGACTTTATTCATTTTAATTAACTTTTTAAATACATAATCTCCTCGGGTTTTAAGATCTATTAGTTCTTACCGAATTTAGCAAGTTGTCAGAGGCCATATTCTGGCCAAAGGCGCCAGCAATGTTAACAAACCACTGAACATAATCCTTCATGTCCTATACCGTGTGCAACTACTGCTGTTCAGACTCATTGTTGACAGTTTTGTCTATCCTCCAAACCACCATTGAACACCCACAAATATTTGGATGCGCAAATAGTGCTTCAGTTCCTGTCCTGAGTTTCTAAATCACGCACACATGCACAGTTTGAGATGGCACATAAGATTTATTTCAGTCCCCATCTGAAATCTGATTAAATGTACATTTAGTCTGTATGTTTTTTATGTTTGTAGCACTCCAGTAATTAGCAATGATGTTTTGTGCGGTTATGCTGTTGCAAAAACTTTGACAAGTAGAAGTTTTGCAGGTCAGGTGAATATCCCAGTAGTGTGATAGCGGAGGAGGAGGAATAGCCTGTGTAGCGCTTGTCAGCGAGTCACAATTGCTTTAGGGTAAGATCAATGTCTCTGGATTTGCTTTGCAATGTTGTTCTGTCCCTGTTTTTAAATAAATTGAGTAGGGTGGGATGGAGTTCACATAGATAATGAAGTATGCTAAGAAAGTCTTTAATGGAAGCCATTAAACAACCTTCTTCCTCTGTTTAATAACGGCACTGTTCTACCTCATTAGTTTACACACTTTAATGACCAGACCAAAAGTTTGAAACTTCTTGTGCGAACAACAGAACTAGCTGAACTAGCAACATAATTGGTTCCACTATGGCTTGTGCTAAAATAACAGCATGACTGCGGAGCTGTGTTAAAATAAGCATATTTTTACATGTCGTGCGTCAAGCTGAGTGAATACAAAAACAAAATAAAGACGAAACTGTAAGAAAGAGCAAGAATATGTTGAAAAAAACGCAAATGTTGTCACCCGAAACCAATATCTATATATGTAAAATTATTTGGAGTTTTAATTGATTTTCATATAGCTAATAACAACTCTTTAACCCCTCGCTACCACTCTGATTACTGTTTCTGGTCGTGTATATCTTAACATTAATCCAGAGAAAGTCCAGCAATGTATTGACACAGCAGATTACTACCACTGTTCAGACTCGGTAGAAAGAGTCGGGCCGGGAAAATTCTGGAAGAATAAAGTCAGACGGAAGAAGTGTGCAAAGAGGGACGTGAGGATCAAGTTGATTACTAAGCTAAAGGCTAAGGAGAGCCACGGTTTACAATTCTGTCACTTCTTCTAGTTAACTTTGCTCACTGGACAGTAAATTTGGCTGAGCTTACCAAAGCATATGTGGAAATGTCTCCTCTGACTGAAACATACTTCAACAACATCCTGCTGGACTTGGCATTTCATCTTCATTCTCCTTCTCTAAGCACACTGAGACTCCCAAATGGTAAAAAAAAAAAAGCAGTGTGGAAAACAATTTCTGAGCTCAAATACGTCACAGTCATCTCAATCTGCTTACATTCGCTCATATTGTGATGTGTTAGCAAAGTTATTGAAAGGCTAGATTTAGATGCTAGATCATTGAAACTGATACAGAGAATGACTCTATTTTCTAAAAACAGTACGATATATCAACATATCACCAGTGTCAAGGATTGATAATTTGTGTCTACTATCTAATCTGGCAAAGAACGTCTTGAGGGGTTCAATGAAAAGTAATATGAAAACTAAAAGTTTAACAAAAAATGACCAAAAGCAACAGACAGTGACATTTCTACATGTTCTAATTTACTTTTGTGCATGTTTTGACCTGCTTTGCTTTCAGTTGCACACTAAGAAGCTAGAAGTGGCTGTTCCTCTTTAAAGACATTTGTGGAAACCTGAAAATGTATTACGTTCAAATTGTGTTGTGAAGGATATCCGTCAGTACTATTTGTACTGTTCCTTCCAAACATTTGCTGTAAATGCTTTATAAAAAGACGAGTCATGATCAACCTTAGCAAACACTTGCTGAATACAAAATCAAACTATAATTATTGACAAAGAAAATAATTCAGTAAAAAATGTATTTGGCTAACAAGTCTTGTAATAAGGTGCAACTGCTTTAATTTATTCATAAGTACACACTCCCTTAACGACAGTGGAGCTTTTGCTCCAGGCCTTTAATACTGCTGCTGTGGGTGACCTTTGGCAGCTGCCAGAGGATACTAGAAATATCATGGGCCTTGACATAATGGCAGTATTTGCAGCTTTAGGATAAAAAATGGGTTGCATGGATTGATGCTGGGTAATTGAAAGTTAAACAGCACAACAACAAAAAAATCAGCTCTGTAAGAGGTTGGTTTTGAAGTGCTTTCATTCTAGTCAGATATTTTGCACATGAAAAACAAAACCTTGCAATTTTTTCGTACCTTCATCTTGAAACTGTTCAGATATCTCATTCTGCTTGTATTTGAACCTGACACGAGGGGTAAACAATCCTAAATGCATAATGGCTGGAGATGTTTGTGAAACTACAGACATCCGAGTTTCTTTTTTTTTGGACAAACCACCCGTTTCCGCCGTAATGAAACAGGCCTTCACTTTGCAGTAAATCAGTGAGCCACAGGGACGAGGCACACTGCCCCTGGGTCATCCATTCCATTCATAGTTTATCACTAGCTCCAATGAACCTAGTTATTGCCATTATCATAGCAGCATTTAAATCCCTATTGAGCATACAATGGGGGAGCCAGAGGCAAAAATTGTGGAGCCAATTCCTGAAGTATTAAATTACGTGCTGCTTTCATTCCAGTAGATGTGGTGCTGGGCCATAAAGTCTGATTGTTTTGCCATTAGAAATAATAGATCCACAGTGCAGACAGCCAGGAAGATTAGCTGCTTGTACTGTGGAGCCACAGGAAACAGATGTGGAGCTTATGTCTTGTGTTATTGCATCCTTGTAGAGGAGCTGATGAGAGGAAATAGTCAAATAAGTGAAAGTATGTGTAAATATAAACAAAGATTTCAAATGTTATCCAACATTTTACATTGAGAAAATCTCAAAATGTGCAAATGTATGCGATTAACTATTGAATAGCGTGCACATTCTTCAATGTAAATGGAATTAAATGCAAAATGAGTTGCAAAATATCATGATTTGGGAACATGGAACTTAACTTGCCATCAATGAACTGGATGGCATGAGTCGAAGTGCAAACGAAGCCTCAAAACCCATGTTCCAGTGTTTGAAGGTCGATGCTAGCGAACAGGGAGGATGGTGCCTTGGCAGCGAAACAGCCTTCCACTGTCAATTAAACCCCCCCTCTCTGCTGACAGCTCAAAACACAGCTGAAGACATGTTTACTCTCCTTAGCCTTTAAATGCGTCTAACACACTTGTATTTCCATTGCGACGTTTTGTTTTAATACGCTTCGTTGTTAAGAAACCTTTTTTTAAATGTAAGTAGTATTTTTTCTTGAGAATAAATTGGATTTTATTTTATTAGCCAGTTAAAATGCACGGTTTATGTTGTACTTTGTATATTTTGTCAAAGGATGATCTGTGTAAGAAAAATATGCTGTTAGCAAATCTGAAAGGGTTTTGAACACAATGACGAGTGACAAAATGTGGATGACAAACGCTTGGAAATCATATTAAGGAAAAAAATTAACATTTGGACTGACACCTGCATTCACTCACACTTTCCAGCCATTAATGATGCTTTTTCGGCTACCATCCTGTTTCATTTGCCTGAGTAGTTAAAAGTGAGAATGCTCCTCTTGAACCAATAATGGATAAATGTTGTTGAGCATAGCAGACTAAAGTAGCTGAGGGAGCTAGTTATAGTGAGTTACCCAATGTATTTGGAAAAACAAATATAATGCATTCCACTTTAAGTCTAATAGCTGTTGTTGGCTAACGTGTGATTGTGTGCGCATGCACATGTGTTTGTGTGTTTGTGTCTAGCCTGAACGAATCCCTTCAGGTAAATAGCTGGAATTCAATCAATTTCAGAAGGGCAAGGGGGGGGAAATAATGAAATGAGGTGACAGAAAACAACACAAACAGTGAACACAGTGTATATTGGTATTATATTTAATAGTGGTTTATTTGGGGGGATATTATCCATTCTGTGTCACAATGACATTTAAAGTAAAATGCGTTTCCAGGGGGATGGAATCGTGTTCCAGTGACTAGTCATCTCTTGTCAGTAATTTTTTTGATCTGCAGATATAACAGCGGTCCCATGGTAGGCGATTTGTGGGAGGATGTGACTGTCATTGTATCCAAGCTCATGTCCAAGCTGTGCATCAAAGCATTGCCTTTTACGGAGAGATCAATAGTGTTGTCTCAGGGAAAGCGATTCAGTTGTAGAAAGCCACGCCATAGCTCTACCCTGATATGGCCTATTGATATTTATGTGGTTGGGTTAAATCCTCGATTTTAATGGTCATTTACTCAATAAAAACTATTAAAGAGAAATAACTTTGGATTAAAGGCAGAATCTAATCAATGCCACTCAGAACTTGCGGCAAATGGTGAATAACTGCCAGTAGAAGGGATCGTCCGGTTTCCCCACTTGTCGATGCAGCTTATTAGTTAATGTCAATCAATAAATCTTGTTAAGCATCACAGCAATGGTAAAACCATTATTATATGCTAAATTTTCGCAGAATCCTGTACTGAAGTTGTGAATCATAAAATAGTTAAGCTGGGAATAAAATAGAGGGTTCTGATAATAATTTCATGATAGAAGTAGAATACTTAAATGCACTGTGATACATCATTCCAGTTATAGAAGCTACAATTATTATACTTTTTAATTTTTTTTTTATCATAATTAAATCAAGTCACTATAAAAGATATAATATCATTTTTTTTGGCTTGTTTAGCCTAGAGTTTTAGCTGTAACCGAATTAAAAAGGAGATCACTCTGTGTCAGTTTAATATCAGTATACAGATTGGATTAAAATTGTGAGATGCAGGAAATAAGCAGTCATACTGTATGACGTGTAATTAGAGAAAAAATCACTATGATTATTATGATTGACAAAACAAGTAAGCTGTGAGAACAAACGTGTTGCTAAACACAAATACTGTAGTAAGTTCAAATGAAAGGATTTTGGTTTAAGTTCATTAAAATCTGCTCTGACAGCTAAATCCCTTTAAGTACACAAAATAAACAAAATGTAGAAATGAATCAATTAAAAGAAACTTGACTTGCATGTTGTATTGATGATGAAGATCTTTGGGCTTACGTTTGTCTGTGTTAGTGTTCTATTTTCAAAGACACTTTAGAGTTTAGACCATAAACGTTTTAGTTCCATAAGAGGACATGTACGTATATGTTCTGAGAAAAGATAAAAGCCGGGCAATATAATGAAAGTGCTGAGGTCCATCTATTGTATGAAATGTAAAACACACCTTTAATCATGTTCCAAGTTTCGGGCACGGTGGTGATGTTATAGAGGCATCCATCAGTCTGCCGTCACAGGAGGCGCTAACACTGTAGCAGATATTAATTACCCTGAGCTGAGATGCGTCTCTCCACAGTTCTGCCTCTTTCTTCACGCTTGTCCGGTCACATTACTCACATCCCATTATAAAGGACAAGGTGATACTCGGCTTATGAAGCGGGGGAACACAAATTGAAATATCTTTTGCGTCTCTAATGTGTCTTTTTTCCTCCAAAAAGTATGAACTGCATTTTTTGCTATTATTGTATCCTCATCTCACGGAACAGAATGTATACAATTTTCTATATACCAACAAGTGTAACAATACAAACATTCATTTAAAATAAATTGTTTCTCGGCTCATAACAAATGAGTTCCTGGAAATATTGATTCATAGCTGTAATTCACTGGGATTTGAGGGATGGGATGGCATTGTATTTTCCACCAGTATTAGCTGGGTTAGTTTGTAATTTGAACCAGTTTTCAATTCTGCATAATTAGGTCTTGGTCCTCAGTAATTCAGAAGCCTTTTCTTTTCTTTTTAAAATATTTTGGTAAAAATATTGAAAATGACCAGTTTTCACAAACTTAAGGAGAGTTATGATTACTGCTGATGGTAAAGATGCACTTTACTAATCGTGTCAGAATACTTTCACTGCATTTTATGGCTATGAAAATAATAAAAATGAGTCAGACACCAAAATTGATTCAGGATGGTAATAAAAACTCAAAGTAAGCATCATTATGGTGGCCATATCTCCCCCAATCTATTTTCATAATTAAAAGCATGAGCTGTTTTCCTTATCGTATGTGGGTTATCCACAAAGGGTTTCCACTTCGCTAAATAGAAATATTACAAACTGAAAATGAACAGATAGGAATGCCGTACATGGGCTTTATTGAAAGGCAATACAGAGAAATGCACCTACAGCTGTAATCTAATTTGGTAAAATAGTAACAGTGAAATTAATAATACCACCATCTGTGTCCAGCAACACCGCATCAGTGTGTATAATCTGTAATGATTCATTGCTATCAGCCTGACCACAGTGGGATACACACTTATATATACACTCGCACATGTATGTGTGACACAGATGGTGTATTTATCTGACATCAGCAGCACTGTTTTGAAGCTCCTTTTTCGTTTCCTAGCTGACCAAAGTGCCCCCGTAATGTGGTAGAATGAATATTTTGTCCACCAACTTCCACCATCAGCTAAAATCGACGGGGCATGTAATTGGTGGCCGCTTTGTGTTATTGCTAAGATAAACAGACATTGTTAGGGGCATGGGAGATCAATGTAATGCAGAAAACAAGTGAGGGGAACGGGAGAAACCATAGGCCACGGTACTCATCAAAAAAAATGTTAATGCATCTTTCTGCAGGCTTTGCCACTGACACACACTTGTCATGTACTCTTTGATCATATTTAATTAAATACTCCAGAGATTTAATCTTTGCACTGGCAAAATGAATTTAGCCTTCACAATATTATGTTGAATGAGTGAAAAATGTAAGTGCTCACATCATTGGCTGCATCAATATGACCTACAGTATAGATACATTCATTACTGTCTGGGATAGTATAGTCAACAGTCAATATTTCGTAACAAATAAATCATTGTCATCCCATTTCTTTGTTATCCTTACCTGCACACCTTTAAAGTAATAAGACAGTCTCACAGCAGAAATTGAGATTAGCATAGAACAAAAGCTTTTGCAGACTGGCTGATGGACACAAATTATGCTTTTTTCTCCATTTTTTTCCTTCCCAAAGTATTTTTTATGGGAAACCTTACCCTAAAGAGGGTAAAGAGTTTTGCTGGCACTAATTAACTAGCTGGCAATGTATCAGACTAAAAAAAATCTTAACTTCTGAGGGACGTGGTATTAAAACAACTGAAACCAGGACTGAAAAGCATTTTGTCAAAGAAGATGCTAAACGGTTCAGAAGATGGATGGATGCTAACTCCAAACGGAGGCTTTTCCATCACAGTGTGAGATAGGTCAATTAAAATCTTCGTGACTGCAGGTGACTGAAGGTTCTCTCAAAAACTTCAAACTTTGCTCTAATGTCACCAGTCAGTCCCAAAGGCTATAATTAGCAATACTAAATCCGAAGGTTCTGTAAGGTTTAGATGAACGTTTGCTCACCCTGGTAATGCAGCAGAAGGAATCCTGAATTGAGTGGTTGGTCGCTGCGTAAGCGGATGGAGATCTGGTTGCTCCAGCTGCGCAGAACAAGGCCCCTCATCAAAACCGACTCATTAGCGAGAATGAAGGGTTCTTGGCCACCTGTATCCTCCACTGTCACCTGTTCCCCCTCCAGCACACTCACATTTAGTACCTAAAAAGGAGGCAGGAGGATAAGAGGCAGGAAGATGAGATTAATAGTTTGTTGGGTTGCACAAGAAGAGCTCTTGATAAAATGGTTAACTGACAAACATTTGCAACTTCAAAGAGTATTTTTTGCCCACATAAAAACAGCTGCAATGCTGAGTACATCCTTTATTTTTGGCACATATTTTAGGCCATTTATTTCACCCTTACACATTTCAGTATCAAATACAACTTGCACTGAAATCTGTATATCTCAATACTTTCAAATACTCCAAGAAAAGTCGCATTAGCTTATTTGCAGTTAAGAGCTTTAGTTCACTTTAATGAGACTTTAATTTAGCACCAGCATGATTGTGTCTTTAAGACAAAACTTAATCTAATAATGTTGCTCCAAAAAATAGGGTCACCTGCTGTGTTACTTCTCTCACTTGTATTCTGACACAATTACCAAGTGATGTATTTGGTCTGAGCTTGAATCTTTTTTTAAACTGCTGTTGGACTGCATATGTATTTTTGAGTAATTGCAGATTCTCTCTGGGTCACTCTACTTGTGGTTTTGTTACACAAATGATTCATCCTCTTGCTGTGCTCTCGTTATGCCTGTAAGCAACTTTGTCAGCAGTGCTTTATGTCTTCAACGGTCTGAACAGCATCTGAGGCTAAATCTGGCGAAAGAATCTCAGGAGTACCGCACACAGTTAAACTGCCTGGATAATGGAGTAGTGACATCAGTTGGAGCATCATCTGATTTAGTCCCTGTAGTACTATGAAATAGGGCTGTAGCCCAACAGCAGGTCATGATTATTATTATATATGACAAAAAATGCTTTCACCATGAGTCAAACTTGCTATATAGCAAGTTTGAGAACATTTAATCAGACTTTCCACGATTCTTCCTATCTCTGTATTCTTCCGGGATTTACATAGTTGTAATTTTTTTCAGTAAATGGGATGTTGCTGATCTCACCTTTCTCCCACGGGTACACCAGAGATATTCGGAACAATGTGCGGACTATTTGGTCCACAGTTTTTCCACAGTTGCCGTTCACATAACTACCTCACAGTAGGAGATTTTCTCCTGAAAATGAGCTCTCACAGCCGGAAATGTGAGGGAAGGAATGCTGAGGAGCGTCTGTCGAAAGCACGCAGGAGGCAGGACATGATGCAAAACGTACGCGGAGCAAATCGTTTGGTTTCCTTTAGAACACACCGAGAATGGCAGCCGAGGCTCCCCGAAAACCATTTTTGTGTCAATATCAATACCACATGTATGTTATCTACAGTGTCAGTGGAAAGCTGTATGCAGGTCAGCACAAAGGAGTTTATAGCATCTGTTATCATCACACTCTGATGGTGATTGCTTTGTAAGATTAACTCCTGCGTTTGCTGCAAAACACTGTCTGACCAGTTGAGCTTTTAGAAGTTTCACAAGCGATTATAATGGAATATCACAGCTGGAGGTACAAACCACTGTAGCAGATCATTTCCTACACTTGTGTCTCCAGGAGTATCTCTTTAACATTTCAGGACTTCAGTCTGTTAAGTAATTGTGTGCTTTATGGCTGCATCATCATAAAAGAATAAATCTAAATTCATAATTTAGTTCCTTTTGGTTTTGTCATCTATGATCTTCACTTATGACATAATGAAGTTTAACTTAGTTGCCTGATGCTTGTATGTTTGAGCTAGTTTTCTGCTATTAAGTGCAATAGGATTTCACAGCTGTCTCTCTCTGAAATCATTATGAATAATAGAAGTACAGAGAACTGTGTGCTAGAAAATTAAAATATGACGCTGAAACACACAATAACGAGATGCATTCAAGGTACACATCGTATGTAAATTTTCAAAAGATGTAAAATAGGTGTACCATGTAATTAAAAGATGGTAAATTATCTTTTTTTTATTACTTTGAATCAGATGGAAAAAAAAATCTTACAGGCAAGTGTCCCATTAGATCCAGTTCAGCCAAATCTATCTAATCTTGAAGTGGAATTCTTGATACTCTCAAAGCCAGTCCTATTTTAGGCAGGGCTCAGGTATGCCATTAGACAGAAAAAAGCTTGTCCTCCATAGGCTGCTGTCCCTGAGGTAATATATGTGCAGGAGTTTTAGAGCACTAGCCTGTAAAAGCTGAGACAGTAGCAGAACGAAGCAATATCTGCTATAGTGGCACCTAAACGAATTCGGTCACGTAGACTAACTGTCACTCAGTCGAATTGGAGAAGCCACCGAGTGCAAAGAGGCTAATGCACACAGAGTAAAGGTGACTTCTGTGGTCATAATCCATGAGATCCGACACTCTAATTTTTCAATTTTAATATTTTTCTTTCTCTCAGAAATAGTTGCAAAAAAGAATGTATAGGTGCTGTGTTATTTGGGTTTGCATGGAGGATTGGAAATAGTTTTAAATCAGACTGCTAAGACTAATACCGATCTCATCACTCCATTTTTTAACTTACATTAAAAATGTAATTTAATTGAACTTAATGCTTATATATTTTAGAACGACAAATAATTACTTTTGACTTAAAAAATCATTTCCAACCTTTTTTTAAATATATTTTTTGTTTTATTTTGGAATATTTACTCCTTCAGAACGTATTTAAAAGACACTTATGTATTTGAATATACAGATAATGTCAAACTCTACCGGTAAGAAAATTATTGGCCAGGACACTTTTCTCTTATTTTCTGAGTTTTGAAATACATAACAACAATCTCTCTTACAAAATAAGCATGAAGTATGCTTATTCAAAATTAGGTGTGTCTGTCCAAAATCATGTCTCCTGCTGTGATGAAACTGTTAAAACATTTATTTGTCTTGTCTGAACACCTGTCCTACACTAGTGTTGGATTCACTTCACTGGTTCCAGCTGGTGAGGAACGAAAAATGAAGACGGATGAATATACCACAATACTAAATGAAATGTCTAAGTCTACATCTCCACATTTTTCCCAAATATGTCAGTTGGCATTATAATGAAATATTTTATTAAAGCTTCAACACAAATCTCATAAAAAATAACAAATGAACATCTCTTCCTCCATCCATCTACAGCCCTTGTATAGATTGTGTACAGTGGCTCACCGAGACAATGCCAAAGACAGGAAATACATTTACATTCGCACAAAAACACCGCGAGGAGAGTCAAACACCTCCCAAAGGTAAGGAAATTGTGGTGAAAAAGGTCACATAACATCTGTAATTTCGAGATGAGTCACATTTCCGAAGCTGGATAAGCAGGAGAGCAATATCCGCTGTAAGATATCCAGACGGCCTGTGCTGGTAAAGCTGGGAAGCACAACAAACCTCTTGTACTATGACTAGACCGTCATTTTCCAGTGGAGTAAACAGAGAGCTGAAGCTTTTAGACCCTGTTAGTACACACAAACACAAAAGAAGGTCTCCCAATCTGTGACACTCTTTTATATATGATTACTGTCATAAAAATCTGAATAGATGGTAGTCACTTTGGAATAAATCAATTTAATCAATACATACAGCCAAAGAAGATGTTGTAAAATAATAAAAAATGTACAAAAATGTGCCATACTGGTGAATTATTACAAAAGAAACATAATTTTTAATGAGAATTTATTGTTGTTTTATGAATACTGTTTTCACTAGAGATAGGACAAAAAAATGTTCTTTGTTTGCAGTACCCTGTATATTCAGTAAAATCAACATTTTTTTTTGTTTTTGTTTTTATCTTCCACTCTCTTATGCAGTGAACTGGTGCATTAGCTTCTTATATTCTGTGAACTCTACTAGATTGTGGGCCTGTGACAACATCGTTTACATATAGCAAGGAGGTTTATGAGGGATAGGTGAGCAGATAGTGGCCGGCGAACATTTGGACTGATAGATAGTTCAGCCCCGGAGGGCCCTATCATCTGTCAACCACCCTGGGACCTGTCAGTGCAGCCAGCAACAGCTGTCCTGCCTCAATTATGAATCATTGGCCATGTCAGGAGGCCTCAAACTACCTTATCTTCACCAGTGCTGCTGCCAAATGCCCGGAGGGACTTTTTACTCAATGTCTCTCCCTGACACACTCTGTCTCTCACACACACACACACTTCTTCATGTACGTCTATATATGTGTGCGCTCGCAGGTACACACATGCATGTTGCTTCAGACTGTAATGAGAGCAGCCTTATTGTAAGTCGTAGCTGGAATCTCTGCCTCAGCAGACACATTTATGGGACTGAGGATTTGGCTGACCAAGCACACTTTTTGCACCAACCACAACATTATCAGCAGATATATACAGCACGCTGTTCCAGAATTCAGAATTCTATGAAGGCAAGAAAGGGTGAGTTTTTTTGCTGTTTTTTTTTAGCTGAAGGGAAAACTAAACTCTAAACAATGAATGAAATGCAACAGTTTGTCTTTTTCCATAAGGTGCACTGTCACTTTACGTGATACTGCTCTTCCAGTAGCTCCTTGAATAATTCGTTTTGCAGGCATTGATAAAAAAAAAAGAAAAGAAAGGATTTTCAATCAAGCCACTGTAATGAAAACAGATCCTGCAAGGCCATGGTTCACTTAACAGTGCATGAGCTGCACATTGAATACAAGCGGTAAAAAGATAGATAAATAAGAAAAATTAAATGTGGTTCAAAAGCATAACAGTATTAGCGGGATTGAGTAGTTTGATCTGGGTGACCATAACGTTTGTACAAAAGAGAGCTTCCAGGGAGCTGCTTTGCTAAACGAAAGAAGAGCGGATCCTTTTACATCTAAAGATAAAACTGCCTGACATGCGGTTTAATCTGTGACTAGATTAACCACTTGTGTACAGTTAGACTCACATGAAAGATACTGTAAACCAAATAATTGCTATGAACTAGTAACCGATCCACTGTGAAATAAGTAATGATACAAATATTTCTCCAGGGGCTCTCAAACAAACAATCTGCCAAAAAAAAAAAAAAAAAAGAAGTGCACATTTTTACACATGACTTACCATCTTTATTTGCCCATGTATTCATTTATCTTC